AAAAAAAAAAAAGAAAGAAAAGGAAAAGCAAAGAAAATTATTATAGTTGGCATGGAAGCTGAGGGGGGCTGGGGGCGGGGCACACAGTAGCTTCTAGGCTAGAACGTCGAGAAAATGATTATGATGATAATAAATTAAAGTTGCCATTAATTTAGTAACGAAAACGGCTGTAGCAGGCCAGCCAGACGGTAGCATAATAACAATAAATAATAATTTGAAATAGGTAAAAGCGAATAGACAGAGGGGCCTCAACTGGAGCTAGAGAACTGGAGTCAGTGCAGCAGCAGCAGCAGCAGCAGCGGCAGCTAGAGCTGCCCTCCAACCACAAAGCATACCATAAACAACTCTCAGTCAAGAGCAGCTCGAGCGCGTCGAGTGTGCAAATTAAAAGCGCACAGTAGCACGAAAGGAGCTGAAACAGCAACAACAACGACAGACAACATGGAAGTGGCAACAAACAATCACAGTCAGAGCCATCATCATCATCATCATCATCACCAGCATAATCGTCTTGGTGGTGCTGCTGTCGGCAGTGGCAACAACGTCAGCAGCGTCGGCGGTTCCCGTTCACCATTTCAGCGCGAGGTGCGTGAATGGCAACGCATCGACCCGGACACTGGAGCGCTGTTCAGCGGTCGCTTGGAGGCAGATCGCTGGATAAATGGACCACTGAACAGCTATGGCAAGGTAGGAGCGTAAGACAACCAGCACACAAAAACCAATATACACAAAAATAAAATGCCATTGCTTAAATTAAGTATACCCAAGACTTGAACTAAGTACTGTAAAAATACAGAAAACAAATAGCCAAAAAAAAGTCCACTCTTAATTGAAGTAAATTATAATAAATTTATTTAATTTTCTTAAACACAGGATCTTTGATTTTTTAGTTGAAATTTACACTCGAATGTCTTTACCAAAGGCTTTTATAATTTTTATTTGTTGATATTTCCTTAACTTAACAAAATTATAAATATTAAAAAAATTTAATCCGAGCAAATTCCCAGAGAATTAAATTCCTATTTGTTTCCGAAAATTTTATATATACAAAATATTTGTCTACATAAAATCTATATTTTTTTAATTATTATTATTATTATTTTTTATTTATTATTANGTCCGTCTGTCCGTCTGTCCGTCTGTCCGTATGTATGAACGCGTCGATTTCAGAAGATATAAGAGCTAGAGACTTCAAATTTTTTTTAAAATGTCCGTAATTACAGCGCGCATATCAAGTTTATCATTAAAAATCGATAACTCATCCCGATCTTTTTTTATCGATAAAAAACCTTATCGAAAACCAGTTATAAAATTATATCTTCTACACCTTTATTGCTAGAGTCTCCAAATTTTTAATGTATGCTTATATGCAATTTATACAATTTCGGTTTTTGTTAAAATTTACCCCCCACCTCTAAATTCACCCCCTCACCCTCACTTTTGTAAAACGCGTATTTCAAATACTAGAGACTTGTGCTTTGGCAATTACATGCATATTCATGTTATAATCATAATCTGAAAGTTTCATGAAGATCGTACGTCCACAAAAAAAGTTATTAAACAATTAAGTTCTCATAGTAAGCGCACACTGCAGCCCATGCGTGTTTATGCGTGGGTGCTTGTATGTGTATGTGTTTGTGTATGTGTGTGTGTTTCTTGTGTAAGCTGAAAGACGCGAAAAATTATTGAAATAGCTAGCACTCCAAGGGTTCAGGGGATCTCGTAGTCGAGCAGTCTCGACTAGAGCTTTCTTACTTGTTTTTTTTTTAAATGTATGGTATTCTAAATTAAATTTTTAAAATTTAAAACAAAATAGAATTATAAAAATGAAATTAAAAATAATTAATATAGGCAGATTTTAGCCTAATATAAATCTTCTTGTTTGAAAAAAAATCTATATTTGAAATTATATAATATATGTACTATATTCCAATACGTTTTGCTCAGTTTTATTGCTGCCCCAAAAAACATATTTAACGATTTATCAAATCATTTAGAATACTCTATTTAATCTTTACAACCTGCAGCAATTTTCTCGCAGTGTATTGTGCATTACGCGAGCGCTGATTGATGCCTAGTTGAAGGCTTAATTCCTGTAGCTTTTGTTTACAGTCTGCGTTGTTGGCTTTCAGCTAAGAATGGGCAGCAAAGCCATTTAAATGAAATTGAAAGGCACGCTTCAGGCCATAGCACTCTAAATGCAGAGGCGTCTACTAATTTAGTGCACTCCGCAACGGGCTGGCCCATCTGAGTGATTGAGCTTGATTGCACAGTTTTGGCTCGGCTGCCCCTTTCGATTTTAATCAGTTAATAGTTTATTTAGCTATCAAAGCGGATGATGCTGGACCAGCCCCCCAGCTAAAAGGAAGGCAACACAAGCCATGAGAGAGTTAAGTGAACTGCAAAAAGTTCATGATTTTCAATAAGCGTAGGATAAATAAAGAATATTGAATTAATAATAAAGTTTTAGAGTAAATAATAATTATTAAATTAAAAAAAAAAAAAACTAGAAAGAGCTGAAGATTTTCTACTTAACAAGAATATATACATATTTAAAAAAAAAGAATTTCAATTATGATTTAATTTGATTTAAACGCTGCTAGAATGAACTTTTCACATGGAATCCGAAAGTAGTTAGACAACTTGGCTAACAACTCGCCAAAGTTGATTACAATTAAGATTTTACAGTTTTAAGCATTATGGCAATTATCTAAGCCGAAAGATTCTATTGATGCCACTGGGCATGCGGCTCAGACCGTTAGCTACGCATAGCTGACTTCGACTTGGATACTTTGTATTCGGATGGCTTGAGGCTTTTGTGTGTCAGCCAACTCGGCTTCTAACTGCATCAGCGTTGACCATCTCCACTCGGCCATAATTAAACGGTCGCACGCACAAGCTGCACGCCAGATACACACGATGTGCCACTTATTAATCGATTTGCCAGATACAACTTTTCCACAAAAATAAAACAAAACAAAATTAAATAAAAATAAATGCGAAATTCTTTCGCATTTTATAATTGCGCCAAGTCCAAGTCCATTCAATAGTGTCTATCCAAGTGTTTTTTATGCCTTTGTTTTGATTTGCTTGGTTACCTTTGCACACGCACGCACACACAAACACCCATAAAACTCTCTCAATAGCATTGGTAATTAATGTGCGCTCTTCAAATTTCACTTGTGTCTTTCCTACATCAATTGCTCTAGAATTTGCAAAACGCAACAACAACAAGCAATTTTTATGCTTGCTCATTGAGTATTGAAGTGTAGCGCATGATTGAGAGCCAGCTGCCATTAGTCGTGCGTGTGGTCAAGCTCAAGTTATATGGCTCAAGAGCAGAGAACTAGAGCTAGTCGTACTATGATATATCCTATGAAATTCAAAGCTCTCCCTCTCCCTCTCTCTCTTTATCTATCTCTTAAGCCATGCCAATGCAATGACATCATCTCAGCTCACAAATGTGAACAACCTGTGTCAGGTTTTTTTTTTCTGTTATTTGAGATCAGCTCAATTGGAGTTCTGATAACAATTAACAGAAATAGCAAACTTTTTAAATGGCTTTTTAATCAGCTTTGGTTATTTTCATGGACTTTATGTACACCAATTACTCCAGCCTTTTTTTTTTTAATCTTAAGCTGCAGCACTACAAGCTAACCAGGGCTTCAATAGCTTGAACGTAATTTTACAAATTCTGAATAATTTAAGATATTTGAAAAAGTTCTCTCATTTATTTTATAGATCTTCCCTTTAAATATTTTATTCATTAAGTTTCCATTCATCAAGACTCTTTAGACTCTTCCTTCTACAGCTCTTTGGGTCGAATCATGACTTGAGCAAATTTAAGCAAATTCCTTTGCCATTTATACCAATAGAAGCCACTGTTATAGAGTCCATTCAAATTGCTAAAAATTCCCCACGAAAAAAAGAAAAGATTCAATAATTTATGGAATTAAATATCCTTCCCACACATACCACTGATAGCAATCGTTGAACCACCAGCCGGAGCTATTTTCATCGGCGCAATTTCTATTGCTATTATCGTTATCCAGATCAAACGTTGAGAATTGCATATTCAAGTGAGCAGCCATGGCATCGCCAGCATCTCCTGAGTAGACGCCCAGCGACTTGATACGAAACGAATCATTGTCGTCGGCAATCAAAAAATTATCGTAGCGCGCAAAGCGTGTTTCATTATGCTCATTTCGCAAATATATATATAATTCGTGGCGTTGCGAATTCGTTATCTGATGCAGCTTATCGAGTCCGATGAAGAATTCGCCACGCAAGTCGCCAAAGCCCTGTTGATACTCTCTCCAATTGCGATTGAAGTCGACTTTACCATCGATGCGGCGCAAGATGACGGTCCAGCCGGGATCCACTAGGCTCGAGTCGCAGGACACTTGAAAGGCTTGTCTGCCCGGCAGTTTGATCTCATGCAACTCTGTGGATTTGCACAGACAGCTGCTGGTTTGGCATTTATTGCTCGATTGCTTCAATTCAGCTAGTTTCTTCTCTAGCTCTGCGATTCTTTCCTGTTCATTAAGCGTTTTGATTCTTAGCATTGCTATTAATTCGTCTTTATTCTCGAGTTCGGTTTGCAGCGCCGATATTTGGCGTTCCAGACTTGGATAGGTTTTCTAATATGAAACAAAGTTTATATAGCTGAGACGTTAGATGAGTTCGACATCATAGCTCACCGGCAATCTTTCACAATTGACCACCCACAGCGGCGATAGCAGCAAAAAACGTAATGCAATTAAATATTTTGCCATTTTTTTGCTGTTTTTAGCTGAGAACCACTTGCCGAAACAAACGAACTCAAACTAATTGAGAATATAAACTAAACGTTCTATATAAACGCATTCATCGAGTCCACTTTGAATTCAATTGCATAAATTAACATTCAGTTTGTATTGTTTGTTTAGAGTACATATCATTTATAAGCCTTGACTTCGACAATTTACATAAGACTTTGTGCTGAACTATGTTTAGGAAATATATAAATATACAAATATATAATTTATTTATATATTTTTGCAACATATTCCAATATTAGCTGAATTAAAAATTATTTGTATTCTTATAAAATTCCACTTAATTCATATGGAACTTTTATGGATATCTTTATGTATTATTATGCTTTGATATCTCCCTAAGCAAAGCTTATTTTGCTGTTTCCTTATCTGTCTTCTCAGGAATGTAGTCGACATATCAGAACTTCTTATTTGATATGTGAAATATGTATTTATGAGATCTGTGCAAACAGTATCGCAAATAATATATTTCCGGAAATGAATTACTTATAGATATCTTCATGTATTGCTTCGATATCTCACTGAGCAAGGCTTATTTTGCTTATTTTTACTAGTTGCTTATCTGTCACCTTCAGAAATTTTTATTTGATCAACGCATACAAATTTTTGAATGATATATACATGAGGTCTGTGCAGGCAGTATCGCAAACAAAAAATTGTATGTATGTATGTTCATACTTCAATTTTCTAAAATTAATATTTTCGATTTCTACCTTAGCCAAAATCAAGCAAAGAATAATTCAAACAAAATAAGCATAAATGAAATACCACAAGATTGGCTTTATTTTTTTTTAAGCAAACTTGAAAAAGTAATGAATTGTAATAAATAAATTTAATCAATGATTTGGCTTTTTAGCTATAAAAATAAATATATATTTAAACATATATTAAATGGAATAGTACAATAAATAAATTGTTGAATCGTCCTCGAATATTAAATATTGAATAATTAAATCAAGGTCTCAATAAAAATTTGGTTTCTGCGAACTTTCCAGTTCAAGTGCTACTTTTATCAATTTGAAGGAACATAATAAATGTTCATGGATAACCGATACTGTTTGAAAAGATGTAAACAAATACATATATTTTATAAATATATAATGATATATATTAAATTAATTCAACGACCTCAGGCTACATTTTGTATATTATTTGTATATATATTTCAACTTTTTCAAAAGTCATCAACTTTTACATTTTGCCAAAACTCTTTAAAAAATATTTGATATTTTATAAATATGCAAAACCCATTGGCAATCGATTGTAACATCCGCTCGTTTACAGTTTATATGCCCTTTTGCATTACAACACATGACTGCAGGGTATTTAAAAAGTTGCTGAAAGTTGTATTTCGTCCAATTTATCGCGATTGAACTTTGCTGCCAACTGTTGCTGCCGCTGCCTCTGCTGCTGCTGCTGCTGTTGTTGTTGTTGTTGTTGGAAATCGCTAGAATCGAAAACAATCAAGAGAATCCCATTGAAGCTGACCAGATCCAGATCCCGAGCCACTTAAAGTTAAACTTGTTGTTGTTGTTGTTGTTGCTGAGGCCAATCTCAGTGGTCAATTTAAATAGTCGCACAGTTCACAAATTTGATTGCCCGAGTTTTCGGCTCCCTAGCCGAATTGATATCAATGTAGATTCTCTGCCCGCTGTGTCTGTTTGCCGACAAAGTCAAAGGCAAATTTGCCGACAGCAAATTCAATTGAATGGATCGCGATCTTTGATTTGTGCCAGGGCAGATTCAGTCCAGTCCAGTCCAGAGTAGTCCAGACTAGCACCAAGCACCGTTAGACGAAACTGAGCTACGAGTCTTCATTAACATTATGAATAGGTTGTACGAAAATTTACATTCCTTTAGCAGCAGCCGCAGCAGCATGAGGTGGCGGCAGAGGTGGGGCAGCCATGGCATGTGGCATGTGGCAATGCCAACCCGAATGCAGTCTAACGGTACTGACAACCAATGCCAAGCGACGTCTTTGTGGGTCACTAGGTTGCCAACAGGCAAAGACAGACGAGCGCAATGTCTGCTCGCCTCTCAGCTGGAATTTGTTGGGCTGCTCAGCTGCTCAGCTGGCGAGTGGCTCGTAAATTACCTTGCAACTAATTGAGGATGTCAACTGACGTGTCTTGCTACAATTATGCTTTGCCAGTTGTTAATTTCCGGTGCACAGCACCAATACAAATACAAACACACACACACACACAGTAACATTCAGTGCATTTTAGCACTGCCCACAACTTGGCCATGATGCGGTCATGAACAGCGAGGGCCCACATATGATTTGACTCGATATAGCCAAACAAGCTCTAAGTACTCGTACTCGTAGTCGCACTCGCACTTGGTACTCACACGCACACAAACATACATAGCTGCTGCTGCTCTCTATAGAGATATAAAGCCAACGAGATCGTGACAGAAATAATGCATATAAAAATGTATATTATTAGCGTTTAAGAGGCGCACAGCATTCGACCCAAGCATGGCCAACAAAATGGCCATTGTTAGGCAGAAACCAATTTAAAATGCACTATGCCGCACAGTAGGCTGAAGCTTGGGGGAAATATTTATATTGTAAGTACTTATATTGTATAAAATACCCCTATCGGGTTGGTGATACTATGGTAAATAATTTTCTGTACTTTTTTAGACTATATAATTATCGTTTTAGTTGACTCTCGATATGTCAATATCTTTCAAATAAATATAAATATA